TGCAACTTCACCCACCAATGCTAAGGTGAACAACCCAAGACCACTATGCCTTACCTAAGAATGTTTCAATTAAGCAATCAATCACTTTAATATCCTGCTTAGTTACAAACTCACGCTACTAGGCTCAACAGCACAAATATTTGTTTTTCATTAGAGCCAGAAACATATAAATTCAAGAAAGTCTAGGAGCATAGACCAATATCTGTACTATACGGTTAAAATTAATTATAATCATTAGGAATATGGACACCTGGGTTATCTATTCTATTTCCCTGCATGCTAGTGATCTAAATACTTGATTTATGGTTGTTTACAACAATATTAGTGAGAGATGGATACAATACAATCACATGGAAAAAACTACTAATTAATAAACATATCTAATTAACTCCAAGAATTAACTACAGTTTCTATCATATATAAATATGGAATATTATTGGAATGATTGACTACAAGGCTGGGAAAACGCGTATGAATCTGCAAACTTTTGTCTCCATATATCTTTTTTTCCAGCAAGCTCTCTGTAAAATTAGATCTACCAGGAATGCAAGTGGAAGAAAATAACTAAGAAAATAATGAATCTCTCTTGTAGAAAAACAACATGTGGCCATTCACATTGAGTTCAACAATTTCAAGATATAAGTTCTTTTGCAAAGGAAGGAATTTTTCTTTTGTTCAGCTTATTACAAGTACCACATTTCCTCAGTTTGTGCACAAATATATCAATATGCAGACAGATTGCAGCCCTTCTCCTACCTTCTCCCCAGCCTTCTCTTTTAGGAGTTACAGCTAAATATTAAAATATATATATATATTTGTATTTATATATCATCAGAATGTTTTCAGACATCATCTTAATTACTGGAGAAAACAAAAATAGTTGTAAAACTAAGAGATGAAAGATTAAAAAAAAAACTATATATCTGAGATATCTGACACCAATTAATCACTGGATCTCAGGTATCTTCAGAGACCTAGCTAGCTAGTGAAGATTTTCAACCAAGATCATATATCTAGGGATTGAGACTACAAATTAACAATTGAGAAATAAATAAATTTCACATGAACAGACGCCATCAATATTCATTTCTCCATGTCAGTTGCACATAATATGTATACTCAGCTGAGGAAGGGACTTGATTCATTACCCTAACCTCAACAGACGGATTTTGATGCCATCGCTCACAAACAAGACGAGTCTGATCTGCAAACTGCTGCCGCGCCTTCTCTGATCTGCTTGCCTCACTACTTCAAACCTGTAAAACATAAGAGCAACCGCAGTTGTTCATATATATATATATATATATACACATAAGTGTATGTGTGAATATCATTCTGTGGAGTTTTATGGAGAGTACTAAAATAACAAAATTAAAACTATATATATAAAAATATGTATATATATGCAATTGCAATTTGCAAAGAAGCAAGGAATAATCTTGGATTTTCATGAGTTAAAAGGAAGGAAATATGGGAGGTGCAGTGCCGCCTGAAGGGGGGAAGAGAGGTAGCTAGATGGATGGATGGATAGCTAGGTAGGTGATGACAGAAGCATAGAGAGCACAAAGGAGTGAGATGCATATTTGATTGCAAATCATCCATCTGTGCTCTCTATCTTCTGTCAACAACATATCACCACACCACTGCTTCCTCTCCCCCTCCTACCCTAACTTTAATAATTTAATAATATAAATGTTTATTAAACGGAAAGTAGTTGTAGCTGCAGATACTTTAAAAGACTCTCACCAATGGTCCCTATTTATAGGAGAGAAAAAAAGGAGCACCCCGCCCACTACAAAAAAAAAAAAAAAAAAAAAAGAAGAAAAACTTTCACAAAGAGAAGGGTACTATAGTACATATAACATATATTTGCAACCGCTTCTCACGAGATAAAATTTTATCAAAAGGACAGATATATAGTACTCATCTTCTTCATCATTTTCTGACTTCCTAACAAACCCCACACAGTTTCCAAGGTAAACCATTATATTACCATTTTAGCCACTGACAGTGAAGAAAGATCTTAAGCTTAACCAACTGCTCACAATTAATAATTTAATATTATTGAAACGAATGAGGAATATACTCCCTCTCCCTCCCTTCTTCCTCCCATTTTCGGAAGGGTTGAATGAGTCAGAAATCTCACTCACAGTGCCTGCCTGCTAATCTAACTACAATTATTTCATTCCAGTACTGTACTGATATATCCAAACAGCATATATCCATGCAGCTTTATTTGATATGCCCCCATGTGCATTAAGGATCTCCATAATCCTGTGCAGATTATGTGTGTGGTCATGCAATCCTTATGCCTCATGCATGCATGCCCATGCATAATGCTTCACATGCATCTTGGCCCTGGTGTGGAGTGACTAATTAGTCAATATTTTTATTTATTTATGCGTAATGAGATGAGACCCACAAAGAAAGCACAAATCAATTGATAATAATAAACAATGAATACAGTAACACAAGTCAAAGCTACCCACTTGAAATTTGGATCCATCCCAACCACCAGATACCATCTAGAGCTGTGTAGATGCATGATCAGTGCATTGTTTCTAGTCACCATCACCTTGACGCAATGGCGGGCCCAAATTTTTTTTTTATAGGAATAAGTTAAATTTATTTATTTTACTAGAGATATATTATAAGTATTTTTCCTCTTCAAATATAAATATAAATATAAATCAAACAAGATCATATTACGAGTAAATATAACACGAATAAGTACAAAATATAAATTAAATGTCAAATCAAACTCATTGTCCAACTTCAAAAAATTATGGTCGATTGCGAAATAAAAATAAAAATTTAAGAACTTACCTAGTGAAGTGGAACCCTTCTCTTTTTGAGTGTATCAAAATATCTTTGATTATTGACTCTGAATCAATAATCACATAAAACTCTTTCTCAATGTAGACAATGAGGGAATACTCATCCTCCATATGCATTGGGATGGAGCCCACTCCAACCAAGGGACGGAGCTGTACTAAGGTCTGGGATGGTCCTGGCCCCTCCAATTTATTTAACCCTTTTGAATGTATATATTGGATGTGGTAACAAATGCAAAGAAAAATTGCTATACTTAAGCCTATGGCCCCCTCACCACAAATCAATATACTTGTCAAAATTGTATTTTAATATGAATATAATAGTAAAATCATACTATATTTATGAAAGAAAACCACTCATTTCAATTCAGTGCTTTTGTACACAATAGTTTACTCAAGAGGCCAAAAAAAAATTATAGAACTAAACTTTTTGTGTTTAACATGTTGTCACCCTCAAATATAAAATCCTAGCTCCGCCCTTGCTCCAACCCAAGTGTAGATCTGCCTTTGACCTTAACAACAGATAATGAATGAGTAAAATAAGTGAAAAGTGAAATATTCACATTCTAGAAATATTAATATTTACTGGTGAATATAAAAAAAAGAAAGAAAAAAAGGTATTTGTGCCAAGCCAATAAGGGCATGCTAATAATTGTTTCAACTTCTATGGAATTTACTTTTGAATTAGTAAAAGATCCCATGAAGACGCAGGACCACTGTGGTCCAACCAATATTTGACTGCTGAATCATCACTATACATATATTTTTGGGTGTTCATAATGCAAAAATAATGTCCTTCAATTTGTGAAAGAAGCATATATATCAATACAAGTATATAAAAAAAAAAAAATTAACCGATCATTATCTGGTTTGCTAGCTACTACTTACACATCAACGAAAGTTTGAAAAAGTCGGTTTTTTTTTTTTTCTTTTCTTTCTTTCTTTCTTTGTTTGCATACAAAAAGGAGAATCAAATCTAAAATATCTGCCCTCAACCAACCTCATATGTCACTTGATCGCTAATATTCATGATCACGACCAAGCATATATATCTTCTTCTTTTTTATATATACCTCTAACATCATATAAATCAATTGCCTAAAATAGCAGCTCTCCCTATTTTGATAAAAGGAGAGGAGGAGAAAGCAGTGTTCAGTATTTCATTCAATCAAAGATATTCAAGTTTTGTGTGGGAATGAGGAGAGGAGTGTTTGGTCTTGGCTTGGGGGGTCAGTCAGTCAGTCAGTCAGGGATAATGGCATTATTATTGCAACTTGCCAAGAAGCATGGAGAGGAGGGTATTTCAAAGCATCCCTCAACACGCATTCCTTATCCCTCTATATTAAAGTTGCACACCCATATGGGGCGGTGGGCTACTATTATGCTTCGCATCCCATAAATAATATCCTCCACCATAACACGTGTCGACACCCCACCATCATCTATGCACACTACTGGTCTCTTTCTAGCCCTAGGATGATAGTAACCCTGGAAAACTCTCGACAGTCGGCTAATGCCTTTGTGAAACTTGTCTTTTCAGTTCAGTGTAACTGTGTAAATAAAAATTAGGTATACATGAGAAAAATAATAATAAAAGTTGGACCCACTACTGCTATTTTTGGAGGATTGAATTATTCTTGGAATTCTCTAGCTTTCCCCTTTTGGGTTGGAGGGGGTTTATGGGGGTGGGTGATGATGGGAGAGGTTGATTGGCCAAATGGGGTTCTGTTCTGTTCTGCTGCATCTCGAACATGCTTCAATTATCTTATATTTTTTTATCTCTTTGACTAGTAGTAGTATGCGATGCGAGTATATATGTGATGCATGTACGATAGGTAGCGTTTAAAGCAGGCTATGAGGAGCTTGCAAGATATATATTTGCATGTACGATATGCGAGTATATTTGCATATATTATTATTATTATTTTTTTTAATGAGGAGCTTGCAAGATATGCAAATATATAATTAATCATGTATGTTGTTCTGGTTGGGGTGGGGATAGAGACCCAACAACTGGCAATGACAAATTTTTTTGGGCCTCCCTGGGCTTTAGCTACCACCCAATTTTTTGACAAGATTTCAACAAGAGGATTAATATCAAATGACCAAAAGAATTACAAGGAAGAAAAACAAAAATGGGCACTGTCATTTCACTCATTTCAAGATTTAGAAGAAAAAGAGACCAAGGAGAGAGGTCATGATGCAGAAGATAATAGTTGTAGAAGAAATGGCAGCAAGTGCACCAGTGGCATTATTGTTATTATTCCTGTGTTGTGGTAATGAGTCAGATGAATTCTGGTTTGCAGATTGATCAGCATCAGCAGGTGGGGTTTCAACCCCAGCTGGTTCCAAGACTTTGACGACCATCTTCTGCCCTTTCTCGCAGTGTTCAGCAACCCCACTCATGAAATAGAACAGACCGGGTCGGTCCAATGTCACCACACTGCGAGCATCGTTTGAGTAGTAAATGGGGCGATCCGAATGGCATTTTTCGTAATCTTCCTTGCTCACTACCAACACTGAGTCTGCAAATGTCTCGTAACCGAAATCTGGGTCCATCCATCCACGCGAAAATTACGAACCACATTTTATTTTATACAATAGTGATATATGAACAAAGTATATACACATATATATTTATGCATAACATATATATATATATATATATATTGTTACTCACAGAGAGTGTCGTCAACATTGAACCTTTTCTTTGAGGCCCATTCGTTGTACACTAATTGTTGGTGGTATACTGTTTTGGGGACCTCCCATCCATAGGTCTTGTCTCCAACTTCAAATTGAGTACAAGTTACCAAAACGACTTGGATGCCAAGAAAAAGTAAGACAAATACTTTGAAGGAATATTCCATGAAGTATATATATAGTTTGAATTGTTCTTATAGGGAGGTCTTAATTTGCTTGGTTGATCTCCAACTAGCTAGGAGGAATAAAATGGAAGTGTTTGAGGAAGTGGGGGAAAGCAAGTTGGAGTTAAAAAGAGTGATCAAGTTGAAGTTTGTTACTGAGGAAGAAAAGGGGTGAGAGGATTCTTAGGAGTCAAAGGTGGAGATGGTGGGATTGTTTATTCTTTATTGTTGGAGGATATATCATTTGACTTGGTCAGTGTACAACAGTTTTTCAAATAGCAGTTGACTGTGTAATTTTTTGTTCCCCTTTTTCTTAGTTTATTCTTTTTATTCGTCATTTCTGAATTTTACTTTGTGTCAAGCTCAAGTCACGAATTTCTGTTCACTACTTTGCACAAGTAAAAAAAATAAAGTTTTTAAAGAGTGGGAGGAGGACTCTGCTTAGGTCTTTTTTATTTACTTATTTATTATTAATACAAGGATATTGAGGGAAGAATATTTCATTCGAATAGATAATTTCAAGGAGATATTGGGAGATGGGGGATTCGAACATGAGACCTTGGGTGTATGTATGGATAAATACTTTTAATTATTTGAGCTACGAGTCTGTGTCGGGGCACATGAACTTTGTTACGTTTTGGGCTCTAAACTCCAATTAAATTTAAATATCCCTATTTTTGTCGAATGATATGAACTCAAGAAGATTAAAAAGAGACGTATATGGGGAGCCACCACAGTGGAAAAGTAGGCTAAACTCTCCTCCTTCTCCCTCAAGTGCATTTTGGTTCAATTCACGTAGGAGACAATCTTGAGACAACTCAATATAATACTCTCCTTCCCCTCCTTAGTGAATGACAAAAAAAAAAAAATTATAAAAGGAGTCAAAAATGGTTTAATTTGTTTGTTTTGATCAAATAAATCAGTGGGTAAAGTTGGCAAAGTTGGACCGAATAATTGAATAGTTGGTGGGTGTCAATAGAATTTCATAAATACTAGCTAGAGAAAGCCTATAATGATGATGAGGGAAAGGAAGCTAAAGGTTATAAATTGTAAAGCCCAACGTCGTGACTCAGGCTTGAATTGAAGGTAGCCCAAAACCAGTCCACACGTACCTGCTTGGTGGGTCAAGTTAGACGCTGCATACGCTAAGGCCGAAGAGGGGCAGATGCCCACTTCTTTCTTTTTTTAATTTCTTTTTGGGTGTATAGTTATTTATTCATTTATATATTTTTTTAAACAAATGGTTTTAGGAAATCAGAAATGGAACCTAGAATTTTGGTGCATAATTAATTATTTTTGTTTGTAATAGAAACTTCTCTGACTTTCTCCTCCTTTGATCACGTCGTCTTCTTCTTTTATGAATTGAAACGGCTAGAACATTATATGTGCTTGCAGAATTTACAAAGTAAATTAAAGTGTTTGGTAATCACAATCCTTAAATTGTATAAGAACAATATTTTTAATGGCTAAACTAATTATTAACACTTTTCTTTAGTACAATACAAGAGATTGGGGGAGAGAGGGTTTACACAAATATTCATTAGGTATATGAGAGTTTCCAACCTCTGCTTACATAGGTGGAAGTGAAAGGGCCCAACCAACTGAGCTATACTCCACTGACAATTAATTATTAACGTACTTAAGCACAAATGATAAACAAAATGAGTAGAGTGACAATATGAAATAATGTAACACAAGTGAAAAATTGTATTCCAAGCAATTATTTTATGTAATATTTTATTTTTAATCTGAAGAGAAACTTTACGTAATCATTAATTGAATCAGACTAGTAAGATGGATGTCCCAAATTAGCCATGTTGATGTGGTCCTGCGGGTGAACTCGGAGGAGGGGGTGGGCTTGGTATGATCCTTAATTTTCTCGGGTTCCGATCTGCAGCAATCAATAAACTCAAACTCAATAACATCAATCAAATCATATGTTCCTGTATGACAAAGTAAATGATATGATGCATAAACATATGAAGAGACAACTAAGTCACAAGACGGTCATGATTGAAAACTCTTAATTAGTAAGTTGCTCTGAGAAATGAAAATGAATGATTCTAAATCATGTTAATTAGAAGGAAGGAATAATAGTAAGTCACCGGCGTGAACGTAATGAGGTGATTGCATGACTAAGAATGAAGAGACGATCAATATGAGCAGCGTCAAAAGACGGATGAAAAAGCATGAGATCAGTCCCATCTCTCAACTACTCCTTCAACTTCAAAGATGGACCGATGCGGTAACTTTCTAGTTTCAAGCTTTCGATATTGCCCTGCATATCAGCCACCCACCTCTCTAATCCCGCGGTGGCTACATATATATATATATATATATATATATATATATATATATATATATATATATATATATATATATATATATATATATATATGTAGCCCCCGCGGGATTAGAGGGGTGGGGGGGTGATATGGAGGGCAATAAGGATATATAATAAAGAAACGCGTTTGAGTACGTATATAGTTAGCCGCATGTCTTTGACATTGAATTAATCAAAGTTAAGAAAATAATGTAATTGACCTCTTCTGTCAAAGATGAGTCTGACCACTTATCAATGAAAAATTAACCAAAAGCATGTAACTTGAGATGAGTCGGAAGTGCAAGGTATTAACTTATTTTTTTTACAAATTTATAAATAAACTCAATCATAGACATGTATTTATAAAAAAAAACCTAAACACTATTTAAACATAGAAACACACCCAAAATCAACCTCAAAATCAACAATTGTATATTTTTTGGGTGTGTTTATAAATGGGTTTTGAGTGTGTGTAATGATGGGTTTTGGGTGTGTTTATAAAGTGTTTTGGGTGTTGGATTTTTTTATAATTTCAGCCCCCATTTTGGGTGTTTTAGTGAAACTCCCTTATTTTTCGGGTGCAATACCAGAAGGGGGCGCGTGAGTTTCAATTAACTAGGCAGCTAAGAACCAGAGCCTTTGTATATGTACTAGGAGGAGGCCTGAATTGGGTAAACCACTATTTTAGAAGTTTGTTAAATAATATAAGTCCCACATTTAAAATAAAATAAAATATATAATGAATGGTTTTATTATTAATATCATCGAGAGACCTTTTGTGATAAAACCTCGTATATATTGGATTTTGTAGGTGGTTAATTTAAGGACAATTCTGATACTGTTAGTAGTGGGTCATTGACCCGTCTCTTTAAAATTTAACATAATATCATATCGGTTAATTGAGTGGACAACCATGGCCAAATCCAGAACACTGAGCCAGAGTTGAGGAGATGTTTGTACAGCCTTGGCAGACGTGTTGGGTTAGGCAGCTGGCGTGCGAGGGTGTTGTGCACTCTTATCTTTTTCTTTTCAAGTTTTTTTTTTTTCCTAATTTTAATTTAAATAATAAATATATTTTCCTAATTTTAATAATAAATATATTAAGTGTCATGTCCAGCTGTTAAAAAAAAAAAGACAAGTGGCAATGTCTGAGTAGAAGCACGGCATAATATATCCATACTATTCTATAATTTCAGGTAAAGTATAATGTATTTAGCTAATTAGGCGTTGCAATTTCCGTTTGCCTTGCTTTGTTACGTACTGCCCGCGACGAGGCCAGGCACGTGACTTCCCCCACTGGCCCCACGTGACGCGGCAGATAATAACACGCCTTCCAATTCTGCGACCGGGCAAGGCAGTGGGTGTGGTAACGGCTGTTCCTCATGGTGCAACCGAAAAAAGACGGCCTTACTGAAGCTATGTGGTGGTGGCGGTGGTTGTGGGTCCTACGCAAAGAGGCCAAAATGGGGGATGAGGCGGTGGTCGGTTTGAGAGACATGGCGGTTGTTGTTTTTTTATAGTCCCCCAAACGGGCGTGGGAGGCAATGGCGGGCGTGGGTGTATATGTGTCTGTTGCGGCTGTGCGTATTTTCAGTTGCAGCAGTTATGGAGCCATTTGTTGATATTAGGGTTTTGGACAGATGCAATGGATGTCTTGGTGTTGTTTTGGTTTGGGTTATGTAATGTTGGTTGGAGAGAAGTGGCGCTGAGAGCATTTACGTCATGACTCTGGTGCTGGACTCTGTTTTCTCATTTATCTATTAAAAGAAAATAGAGATAAAATTACAGTCTAGCCCAAATTATTATTATTATTTTTTTAAAATCTAACCTATCCTTACTAGGGACACATAGCTGTTCTCTCTCCTTGTTTTCTGCTTCTAACTCACTCTAGGGTTTCCATACCATTTCAAAATTGGAACTTGGAAGCCTTTCGTCCATCCCTGCATCCATGGCTTCAGCAGCAGTGATCTCCCAACCCCGCTCGTCCTCCAAGACCAAGTCTTATGTCGACAACAAGCGTAAGGAAGACATCCGCCAGGCCAACATCCTCGCCGCTCGAGCCGTGGCCGATGCCGTCCGGACCAGCCTGGGACCCAAGGGCATGGACAAGATGATCTCCACTGCCAACGGCGAGGTCATCATCACCAACGACGGCGCCACCATCCTCAACAGGATGTAGGTCCTCCAACCCGCCGCCAAGATGCTCGTCGAGCTCTCCAAGTCTCAAAGACTCTGCCGCTGGTGACGGTACCACCGTCGTCGTCGTCATTGCAGGCGCTCTCCTGAAACAGTGCCACATCCTTCTGTCCCACGGCGTCCACCCGGTCATCTCCGACTCTCTCCACACCCGTCGAGCTCACAGACCGCAATTCGCTGGTCAAGTCCGCAAGCACATCGCTCAACATCAAGGTAGTGAGCCAGTACTCGACTCTGCTCGCGCCGCTCGCCGTCGACGCGGTGCTCTCAGTGGTGGACCTGAGGGATATCAGGATCGTGAAGAAGCTCGGAGGCACCGTCGACGATACGGAGACGGTGAAGGGACTTGTTTTCGATAAGAAGGCGAGTCACGCAGCTGGTGGGCCTACAAGAATGGAGAACGCGAAGATCGCTGTGATTCAATTCCAGATTTCGCCTCCCAAGACCGATATTGAACAGAGCATTGTAGTCTCCGACTATACACAGATGGATAGGATATTGAAGGAAGTGTTAGAATTCTTAGTTTGTATATGTATTTTCAGATTAGGAAGAGGTGTATTTTCTGGAGATTTTAGCTAGAGAGAATGAAGAGAAATGGGGAAGGCACTGTTCTATTGAATTCTTACAATCTGCAGCTTTCACAGTGTGTCTGACAGAGAGAGAAATGTGATTCTTTCCTAACAGAATTACAACTGTCACCCTATTAGGTGCTTACACATGTCATACCAAATCTAAGCTAGAGAATCCACCTAGACTATGATCTAATGGTTCTCATTACATCATTTAAAATAGACTTAACAGAAAATAGAAAATGACTTCAGCTCTAAGAAATCAGTAGAAGGATTATATTTCAACACTCCCTTCTAATCCTTTAGCTGATTTCACTCCAAGCAAGCTTCTCAACCTCACAAACCGATCCTTAGGCAGAGCCTTAGTCAAAATGTCTGCTATCTGATCTTCTGTCTTGCAGTACACCAGTTCAATTTCTTTTGCTTGAATGGCTTCCCTTATAAAATGAAATTTCCTGCTGTTTTGTTTTTTCTTTTGTGGATTCCTTGCCATTGCAATTGCAGAGGTGTTGTCACATAGAATTGGAGTCCATTCTACCTGTTCTTCACCAAAATCTTCAAGCACAAATAGGAGCCACTTAGCTTGTGAAGTTGCTTCTGCAGCGCTCACATACTCAGCTTCGGCTGTAGATAAAGCAACTGTGTTTTGCTTGATGGAAGCCCAAGAGAACATGCCTGAGCCTAGTGTGAAGGCATATCCTGAGGTGCTCCTCATATCATCCTCACTCCCAGCCCAGTCACTGTCACAATACCCAATTAGAGTAGCTGTTTTCCCCTTTGCAAACTCAATTCCAAAATCTAATGTGCCTTGTATGTATCTCAGCACCCTTTTAGCAGTTCCCATGTGTTTCTTTGAGGGATTGTGCATAAACCTAGCAAGCAAGCTAGATGCAAACATGACATCTGGTCTTGTGGCAGTCAGATAAAGCAGACTCCCTACAATCTGTCTGAATTCATTTTCATCTGCTGCTTCACTTCCATCTTCTCTACACAATTTCTCATTCACCACTAATGGAATTGCCACTGACTTGCAGTCTCTCATTCCAAACTTCTCAAGAATTTTCATGGCATATTTCTTTTGATGAATGAAAATATGCTTATCAGTTTGTTCCACTCCCATGCCAAGAAAATGGTGCAACATACCCAAGTCTGTCATCTCATAGTGTTGCATCATATCTTGTTTAAACTCTTCAAGCATTTTAGGACAGCTTCCAGTATATATAATGTCATCTACATAGAGTGAGACAATGATAATACCTGAGGTGTCACTTGTTTTGATATAGAGAGTAGCTTCACTTAAGCTCTTCTTAAAACCTGCAGTGTTGAAATAGGCATCTATTTCATCATACCAGGCCCTTGGGGCTTGTTTCAGTCCATATAGAGCCTTGTTCAACATGTACACCTTGGTTTCCTTGCTCTCTTGAACATATCCTTGAGGTTGTTCAACATAAACTTCCTCCTTTAGAATGCCATTGAGAAAGGCAGACTTCACATCCAGTTGAAATAGGTACCATTCCTTTTGTGCTGCAAGAGCAATCAAAGTCCTAATGGTGTCTAGCCTTGCCACAGGGCAGACTTCACATCCAGTTGAAATAGGTTCCATTCCTTTTGTGCTGCAAGGGCTATCAAGGTTCTGATGGTGTCAAGTCTTGCCACAGGGGCAAATGTCTCATTATAGTCGATTCCAGGCTTCTGTGAATAGCCTTTAGCCACAAGCCTAGCTTTATTCTTCTGCACAGTACCATCTAGGTTCAGTTTGACCTTGTAGACCCACTTAACACCAATTACTGGTTTGTCAAATGGCCTGTCAACTAATTTCCATGTATTGTTCTTCTTAATCATCTTGAATTCAGCCTCCATTGCACTTCTCCATGATTCATCCAAATCTGCTTCTTCAAAGCTGTCAGGTTCTACAATGCACATGTTGCATTGTGTCATGATGTCATTAATACTCCTCCACTTGTGAGGTGTGTGATCAACCCTTTGAGTCTCATCAAGCATTTCTTCCCCTTGAGGTGCAATTTCTTCTTCTTCCATTTGCATTTGAGTATCCAAAAACTGAGATTGTTCATCTAATACCTTCTGTTCAGTTTCTGCAGTACCTTGATTTCCATCTGGCATAGGCATTCTCACATCTGCATTGCTAGGATTCTCCCATGTCCATGAGGCTTCTTCATCAAAATAGACATCCCTAGACAAGATAATCTTTATAGTCTT